GGGTTGTAATGAGGGCTTTATAGACGCAAGTCAAAGATAAATGAGGAGTTTGTTGTGCTGTAAATCATGCTAAGCTACCCTACAGGTCTCACAGACAACATGGAAGGTGAACACGCGTATAAGTTGGGCTCATAAAGCAAATTGAAAACTTGAAAGGTTTTGCATTTTCAATTACTTATGTAACAGAAAAGTAAGCATAGATGTTAGAGGCAGACATTGAGATACAGAAGGCAGCAACTGAATGTGTGTTTTCCCATAATCAGCGGTACTTCACCCCCATGCTGGGTAATCATGTGTGTACATAAAGAAACCATTCACACTGCGGATGTGCCACAGAGTGTTTGCACATACAGCACTGTGAGTTGACTGTGAGCTGACTGTGAGTTCTAGTTGTGACAAGTTACTGTCATTGGGCTGGTTACTCAGAATGAACATACATTTGAACATAGGTAGACAAGTTATTAATACAACTGCAACACACAAGTCTGTTTGTAAAGGGTATGAAGAAATCTGTCGCTTCAATGGTGTTTTCTCTGCCTTGTGTTTTGACAGAAAATGTACAGCAAAAAGGTATGGAAGTGACAAGTGATCAAAATTTCAAATGATAAAGCTAATTTGAAAATGAAAATGGATTAACAAAAATGCTTTTTAAGTTTCAGAATATGGTGTATTATTTGACTCAAAAATAAAATGATGATTAATTTATCTAATTTGCATTTTAGTTTTCAACTTCAAAAATACACATTCTTTGACAAAATTAAAATGAAGACGAAAATGACATTAGCTTTTTCATTTTCAAAAAAATGCCCCGCTAAATTTGTATCATAATTCAAATGAAATTGCTAATTTTAAAATGAAAATGCAGTAACAGAAGTAATGCAGTAATTTTACTCATATTTTATGTCTTTTAAATTTACATTACTTTGAACAGCACTTTGGTCAACTGTGGTTGTTTTAAAGTTAAAAGCAATAGCTAAACAAAAGTTGGATTGGATTGGATGCTACGGCCTGTTGTGTGAAACTATTCTACAGCACTTCTATCAGAGATAGAGAGACATACAGTGAAAAAATACAGAGCATACACCCACATTTTCTAATAGTTGCTACATACATATCACAAACATACTGTATATACATTTGAGTCCTTCCTTTCAAACACACCACTCAGGTAAATTGGATCCACTGATTATTTAGACTATTTTTCTGACCTCTGTGTTCAGCAGACCTGAAATATCTTCCCTGTTTCCTCTCTTGTTATGAACCCAACATCAGGCAGTCTCAGTCTGCCTGGAGTAAAACATCATCTGGGATTATGAGCCATTTATTAATCTCAGCTCAGTAATACTTTGAGAGCCTAGCTTCAGAATCCAATGAATATTTCACAGTTTCATTTCCGATGCAGTCTCCAGTGCTCTGAAGTGTGTGCTGCTGGATATCAGTCAGTGTGGTTTATATCCGTGTGTGCATGTTTGTGTATCTCACTGTATGTGTGTTTTGGGGAATTCATGTTTGGCACTTTATTTGGTCTAAGCACTGAAATGTATATTTTGTGGTGTCTGTGCCTTTATATGTGTTTGTTTTTGCTGTGTAGTCTTGTACAGCTTGGTAGCTTTCAAGGAATATCTATAGTATATCTAAGTATATACAATAAATATATAAAAAGCATAACCCCCCTTTTTATATGAATATGGAGAGAGACTGTTCAAGGTAAAGCTGAGAACGCTGTCAATAAATACAGCATGCAGCACACATTCAGCGCAGGAAGAAAATCAAACAAGCTCTCATACCTTTCAGAAAGGTTACCCAGAAGCTTAATGCTCCAATTGTTAAATTCTGATTGATTCAGTATATTCGCCAGCACTTCCTGACCTAAATGGTACATGACTTTGTATCCTTCTTTTAGGTCACCAACAGAATCTGCATCAGGCTGTGTGAGTAGTAGTGCTTTAACTTGTTGTATGAACTAAATGGACAGTAATACAACTACTTAACTTTGTAACCAATTAAAAAAAAAAAAAAATTAATGACCACAAAGTTACTAAAAAAACATTTACAATGAACTAAACAAAATGACTGGAAACAGCAAATTAATCACTGATTCACATCCATATTTTTAACTCCTGGGGGAGGATTTTTAAACTGACTGAGCTGATCAAAAGAAGACACTCCTTTGATTTTGGTGCTTAAGAGATAAACACTGAGATTAGATATTTAATTCCTGGGATGATAGAATGCAGACACAGTACATGATGCATATTTGTATCACTCCCTTAAGGGCAATGTTTTGTCCTGCTGTATAATTTTTTTGAGACTTAACATTTGATTTGAACTTTTTCTGTACTGAAGGTGATCTGAATATAAGACAGGGTCAGACCTAGACCCTAGGCTCCTGTTGTGACCCCGATCCTCATACAAACATGAGACAAATCGGTATAAATGAATCACAGTTAAGTATGAGATATGTACCTGAAAGGAGAAATGTGGTTGCAACTGTAGCTGTCTTGCTGAGATGTTTGGAACACGTCCATTGTAAGAGCGGAAATCACGATCTTGACGCAGGCACATTCCTTTGCGCCAACTGTAGCCTAAAAATCCTAAAATATTACATACTAAGGCTGAATCCAAGGGCTATGCACTATATCACTATACTGTAATGCAATAGAGACTCAATGGTTGACACAATAATGGGATTTGAAACACTTACTAAACACCATAACACTGCATCATCAATTATGTAGTGCATTGGTATATTGTGTTACGCAACTGGAATTGGAAAATACGGACCATGGCATTGCGGGAAAGAAAACAGCTGAACCAGTACATGCAGCGGACTGAGTCTCTATGAATAACAGTTTCTCATGTAGTGGTTAATTAAGCTGTAGAAGAACATTAGAGTATTTCCTGACTAAACCCCAGGGTTATCAGTTGTTTTAGAAAAGAATGAAATATTTCATACAACCTGGATTATATTAATGCCTTTATTTTATTATGTGACTTAAATGATGACGAGTGAAGCTCTGAGATGAGAAGGTGTTATGTATTTTTATAAAAGACATGTAGGAATATCTCTATTGTACAGTAATGAATAGTTCTGGTCAGTCACATCAGTCACATTTTTAGACAACCATTTTCAAGCTGCATGTTCAGACAACATTTTGATAACAACCTCCTTCAAAAACAACCAAAAACACTGTAGTACACATGCCAGACCAGCAGTTGGCAGTGTGACCTTCTAATGAAACAACACACGCATGTGCACATTAGGGCTGGGTACTTCCCACAACCCCACGATACGATACATACGATACATATCGTGATATACATTGATTATAAATAATAGCCATGTCCTACACAGTTTTCACTACAACAGCTGTTCTCTTTTGTTGAGAATATCAGCAGAGGCATAAGGATCCTAAAACTTAAAACACTTAAATACAGGTCCTCAGAGATCCTAGAAATACATTAAAATATTAGAAACTTAAAACTGTCATTACAGCTTTGCAGCCGTATTGATTCTGTGACATCTGCATCGATACATGTATTTGCAAGGAGTGCATGACGATATATTGCCGTATCGATTTTTTGAGCACAGCCCTAGCGCATAAAGCGGTGAGGTGTCAATGCACAAAAATGGCTTACGCACAAGCAATAGTGTGAAAGGACGATGAAGCTGGTTGTAAATTTCAAGAAAATTATGGCCAGGAGTCACAAACAGAACTCGGAGTCCGCTGTTGGTGTTGTCCACATACTCACTCATGGCTATTGTCTGGAACTGTAAGGAGCATGTTTGTCGGGTCTCCATTTTCAGAGAAACTGTGTCCAGTTTAAACAGCATTGAAAAAAGTTCCATTTTAAAAGTTCACACAAAACTTACCTAACCTACAAAAGGTTAACTTATTTGGATGAAATCAGATTGCTTGTTTTTCATAATCATTTAAAGAAACAAGATTGGTTATTTTTCACATGTACAGATGCTTGAGCTCTTCAGAAGGACTTAAAATGTCATAAAGTCAATGTTAACTTCAGTTCTTTCAGAAGCCTCTAAAAACCTTGTGAGAAAATGCTAACTAATGCAATTTTGCTCTTAATTAGTTCAAAGAATCTCCCACAAATCTTGCAGAATTTATACACCCTTTAAGGCATGCAGTATGAGCTGAGGACAGGAAAATGTATGTATTTTCTAAGCTGTGAGGTCATCAACTTTTCTAGCTGTGACCTAAATGAAAAATTCAGTTTACCATAGGACACAGGCTCATTAAAACATGTTGATACTGTTTTAATGTGCCGAGCCACAAAGAGAAGATTCAAGATTCATGTAAGGTCCTGAGCCATGATTCACAAAAGGGCTTTATATCGACCATTTTTCACAATCTAATAATGCTAGAGCCCATGAGGTGGTATGACAAAAAAGAGACTTTCTGAAGGGGGGAAGTGAAAAATTAAACATTCCTCAGGGGGGAAAATAAGAAAAATGGGGAATATATGGATTGAGTTTGCAAAGTCTCCGAAAGTGAATTGCTAATGACGCTGCCTAATGCTGAAGGCAACTTAAAACCTTTTCCCTTTGAATTTTGCTTGTGAGGCAATATTCCATCCAAAGGGAGTGGCTTTTAGCCAATGAAGCCCAATACTCAAGAGTGTGAGCACACACACACACATCCACACACACAGAAGTGGGCACAGATACCCACCAATGGTAGTACATGCACATAGACCTGTAGCTTGCAAACACAGTGTTATGTGTTATGTTATGTGACTTTTATTAGATACATACCATGTACCTGGTCAGGAAACAATTTGAAGTTTAGCCTCCAACATGTTTTTATCGCTTTGAATAAATGTTACATGGCGGTTTCTGGTCGACTTGTTGCATAAAGCCACTTCATTTCTTAATATCAGTATGCCTTTTTTTATAGTAAAGGAAGTAAACCTCAATTTCGGTGTCAGATTAAAAGCAGAACACACAAAATGAAATACATTCTAGCTGGAGAGGTACTCACCTTGTCCCTGTCTTCCACCAGGTCGCTCAGTATATCATCAGGGTCTAGAATCCCCCCATCACAGTATTCAACGTGGTGAGTCCGAACCAGGAAATCTCCTTCCTGTAACAAAGGACACAACCATCAGCATCATGTGAGGAAGAACCTGAACCCTGATGAACCACTGACCACATTTCACTTTCAGTTCATGCACATATTGAAGAAGCATTTTGTTTTTATAACAGGAATACCTGCACACAATAAATCAATATAAGATATACATTTAATGGCTTCATTTAACATTATGGAGCTGATGTTCACACTAAAAGGCCTCCACTACTAACCAACTTGTTCTCTTGTTTCCGGGGTTCTCTTGCTGAGAAAAAAAGGATTTAAACTGTCTTCCTGCGTCATGATTTCTATTGTGTCCAGCAAAGTTCACAACGTGCAGTTTCTTTGCAGCTCTGTACCTCCTTTAGTTCCATCTGTTTTTTTTTGTGGAGTTTGCACACCTACTAGCTACAGTACGGGAGTTGAGCTCTCAGCCTACGGAGAAAATTGTGAAGTATGGACCCACAGCTCACAAAGTTGCGCTGCCCACCTCTGCTGGTCAGTCGTTAACTTGAAGTGAGGAGTCTTTATAATCAAACCAGCACTCCACAAGGTTTATTTACTGTACAGTGTGCCATTGTTTTCTTTAAATGCATGATTATGACCTCATAAGGGGGGGGAAAAGATGTTAAAAATAAAGTGCTGCTGCCAGCCTGGTCTGCTTTGCTTAGTATCCCAACAGAACTTGCAAAACACAATAGATGGGGACAAATGTTCTATTGCATCAGGTTGCATTCAGTGGGTCATAGTGGCAGCACGTCTCAGCATTACCAGTAACCCTGTTTGCATCAGTATATAGTCCAATTTTTACAGTATATAACGTTCTTTCTTCCTCTCCTCAATCTTCCCATTTCTTTTTTTCTGTCCACCTTACAGCGTCCTCCCCTTTCCCTGGATGCCTTGTACCGATTACAACTCCAGCTTGGCCCTCTCTCTTTCCCCTCCTAGCTCCCTTCTCCGCTGTGTTGGGTCCGTGATTAATGACATCAACACTGCACTGGACAGCTGACTACATAGAGCTGGTTGTTGAACAACATACTGAGACAACACACACATCAGCACACAGAGGCATACACGGGCACAAAATCACAAACAGCCTGAGGAGAGCTATGGCTCAAAACTTTACAGGGACCTGCTCGATTAAATCACTCTTCCAGGGTCAGGTGCATGTCAATGCTTTTGAAAAACTCCCATCAGAGGGAGGGAAAGGTGGAGTGAGGAGTGTTGTGTCCCTAGATATCCCTGCAGGTCTCAAAGTCAATACCAGATCCCACACTTAACTTGGCTCTGCTGCAAAATGCTTTCCAATAAATTCCTTCCCACTTCAGTGTTGGACTTTTCTTGTCTATTTCATGTCTTTCTAGATAAAACCAAGTGGAAGCAGGGTAATGCAGTAAATCTGACTAATGCAATCCCTCTGGTTTTATTGATATGCGAATAATAGTGAGTAATGTATTACAAAGCCTGTAATTATGTTTTTAATCCAAAAACAACACTCATTTTTATTAAAATATTTTCAGAATATAGCTTACTTTGTCCTGTTTCTCCAAACATCCTATCCCAGGATTAACTTTTTAGGATAAAGTTGTTGTTTAACGCACTTTATATTCTTATCATTGTAATGAACAATGTAATCCCTCATTTTTCTCATATCACGCAGGTTTACATCTTTGATCTTTTCTTTGTTGAAAGGTAAACTGAGTTATGGTGTACCTGTTTATGTGTTGGAGAAGCGTAACATGGGTTGTGTGATCTTGGGTCTAGTCATTCTTCACTGTCACGTGGCGCCAGCAGATACAGTATATATAACTAAGACAATCAGCGTTAAATATAGGCATGGTCAGTAATTACTTTTTGATAGAATTTTTTTTTTTTCTAGAGACTGTAGCTGCTCACTGTTAAATTGTCTCTCCCTTCCTCCCTCCTTTCCTCCCTCCCTGATGGAATTCATTGTATGACTTCATCTATTGTAACATTGAGTTGGCCTACACCCAGGCCAGACGTATGAGGGAGAGAGATATTCAAACTTTGTGTCTGTATTGTTTTGTTTTCCCTTTTGCGGTGTGTTTATCTTCCTCGAGCACCATCAGTCAGGGTTATGTGGGCATATAAACGCTGGTGTAACAATTGGAAATTCTTACTATAGCTAGCTTTTCACTAGTTTTACTATGTTAATTATTATATACCTTCTCACCACTTTGTCTATATCAAGTTGTTTCGAGACTTGTGTTTGTATTGGCATCAGACTGAGTTCCAATGTGTTTTAAATGTATATAAACTGGTCTTTAGCAACCCTTAACCCGAGCTTAAACAGTGAAGCACAACACAAGCTAATTTATGTACTATTCTTGGACATGCTGAAAGTGGGCATTAAGAGTGAAATTTACATTGTCCTGCTTACAATCAAATATAATATTCCTGCCGATTCAGGTCATCATGTCCACATTTAGCATGTGAGGCTTTCTCCCAGCACAGCTCTCACAGCAGACTATACATTGTTGTTGTTTTTATTTCAGTTTATATTGTGCTCTGGAGGTGCTTGGTCCCACGCACATTAGCAATTCATCAAATTACAACAGGCTAACTGACACACCATAAACATGGAGCTTTAGGGGACCCTTGGGATCAGGGTCCTGAGGGCAGTTTGCCGGCTCTGTGTTTTTAGTTATCGATAGCACACTGTACAGTCTACTGTTTTACTTGAGATGTTGTAAATCTTTTCCTTTTCTTCTGTTTTTTTTCTTTTTTTTGCAGGCAATATGCAGTATTGCTGATTTGATTTATCTGTTCAAGTCATGGTACTCGTGTATTTTACAGTTATGTTCCTTACAGTGTTATTCAGACATGTAAGCACGATTACAGAAACGGGGCATTTTAGGAGCTGAGTTAGGAGCAGAGATAGAGAAATAGAAAAAGAGCAACAGAGAACAGATTGTTTTTGTCTAACACGCAATGAGTCCAAACACACAAAATCAAAATAGCAGATGAAATGATTTGTCAAGATACAATAGTGCTGATGCTGCAGAGCTCCATGTGGCTGATGTTGTTTTACATGTGGCTTTTCATTTTCCCCGTTGTAAATTAGTAGAAGAACAAAAGACTTATAGAGCTATGGTGATTGGAATTTCAACAGGCATCACTTAACTTTGACTATTTGCTGACACAACGGGAAGGTTAAGATAGTTTGTTTATTTGTTGTATTGCTTCCAATTAGGAATCTGTGTAAGAAGACAGCATCAGTAAGGATTTCTGAAACTAACTCGACTTTAGTGGCCTTATCAGTAGCCATAGCAACAGGGAGACATGCCAAAAACAGTTCTCAGATTGATGTCCAACATGTTTGCATGAAAAAGGCTTGTAGCCTAAAAATGTATAGGGATTTTAACAGTACGTAAATGTTTCAATTACCACAACTGATTTGTTATCTAAATCCACGGCTCTGAGTGACTGGGATTGGGACACAAACATCCATGAACAAAGGGGGGAAGGTTTCATGCTTATAAAGTTCATTGCCAATGACATTTTGGCATCTGCAAATAATGGATAAACACTGTTTGTTTTGTTTTGTTTTTAAAAAGATATCAGCAATACCAGCTAGGCCTTGAAAAAGCAAGCATACTGCTTACATTTAAGGCAGCATCTGCTTCAACAATCAACTGAGAAGTACCAAATGCTAATATGAAAGAAATGTATTTGCTTATAAGCAGTCTGTTTGCATCCCAGTTCATTGGAAAAACACATGTTCCTTCTGTATTTACAGAAGAACAGAAGGAATAACAAGACGGGCTTGTTTTTCGGTCAACAACCCTCTTTGATCTCTTGTTACAGAGGTAAACCGTAGAGCGCAGAAGACAAGAGATGAGGAGGTAGAGCGATAACAGATATGTCTAATCTGATATTCAGGAGGATTGCAAGGATAATGTGTGACATATATTTTTGTGAAAGTCAGAAACCCTGTGCCACAAGTCTGGCAGGGTAAAAAAAAACAAGAGGTACACTTAGATATTGTAGGACTAAAGATAACAGCTGTAAACACGCTAATCTTATCTGAAAATCAGAGGGATTAGTACCTAATATGTGTGTTTTGCCTGAAGATATTTCAGAAAATATTATATATATATATATATATATGAATTGAGTGCTTAATTTACCAGTCAAATGGGGCTGATCATGCAGCAGCTCAGTTCAATTTCAAAAGTCACACATTATGCAAAATGCAGTTCACCATGATTTTCTAACACTAATATGTGTCTCTTGCCCATCTACAAACCCCCCCAGTTATGAGTTATCTCATAGCGGATCAGGAGCATAAACGACTTAACCCCCCCCATTTCCTCCTCCATGCATTAAGCATTGCAGAAGAGGCGCAAGCACAATCTTGAACTGGCTATATAAAAGTACCATTTGTGGAGACAATGACCAGAAATGAAGGAACACTAATTGGAAAAATAACCAAATTTGAGTCTGTTTTGTGCTGATTGCAATGCAAGGATATTGCTGGTGGACATACCATCGTAAACATACAGTCTAAGTAAGTATTTAAGTTTCCATATTTAAAGGAAATAAAATCCCTGCATACAAATTCTACAACCCGCTACAGCTTCTCTTCCCTCAGTAAGGATGGAATGAAAGATGGCTAATTTCCCCACTGATAAATCTTTCTTTAATTGTTGGCAAGTTCAGTCAGTGACACTGATGGGAGATGACACAGAGTTATATATTTATTTATAACCTGAAGGGGCTTTTGGGAAAACAAAGAATATGCTGTCAAACATTTTTCTCTTTTGGCTGCTCTCGACTCATCAGCTGTTTTTCTGAAAAACAGATATAACATCCCGATAATCTTTCCTAGGGGAAAAAAAATGTATTTTTAAAGTTCTCAAATTAAAAATTGTGATACTTTAGTGAATTGATTTTTCCCACCCCTTGTTATATTCATTTTAATACTAGATATAGATTTGTGTCATCACATAAAAATACATGTCATAAAACATCAGTATTCCTAAGCATGCCACACAAGCGCTGCAGTAGGTGATTCTTCACATCTCATTAAGAAATGAATCTTCATGGATCAAATGAGATTTTACTTCAAATACTTCACCTAACTACAAGTCCATTTTTTTTATGGTCTAGCCATCAAACTCTACACAACTGGGTTATAAAAAAAGAGATAGAACAGCAGCACTGGATGAACACATTACTGTGATTATAGAGAATGCGTCACCTCCTTCCCTCCCACCGCCTCCCTCTGAGTAATAATTGCCTGTACTCTGGCATGGGGCCAGGATCTTTTACCTTTTTATCACTTTCTTTGGCCACACCTCATCAGAATTCCAGCCCTGGCTAATGAAACTACAGCACACACCGGCATAGGAAGGAACCCTTTCAAACACATCCACCACAATCTATATGTGCAAAGCACACAATCAGCTGACAAAAGCACCTAGTTTCACACTTTGTTCCAACAATTATAACCATGTTTGGAAAGCAACATAACTTTTATGAAAGTTTTTAATAAGTCAAATAAAAAAAATACCTACAGAAACATTTAGACTTCAATTTGAAAAATGTATATATACTCCAAAATGCTACCATGATTGTTCAGTTTGAAATTACAAAGGACAGAGCAGACCTGAAACCTGAAACCATATAGACAAGCATCCTTAAACACACAACCACACACTTCTCTGTTTGACTAAAGGTAATGAAGAGGTCAGTCAACAAGCTCATAACTTCCTGACAACTCCCCATGAAAACAACCTCAGTCTTTCTACTTCGCTTTCTTTTTCAATGGCTTTACTTCCTCTTCAACTTGTTCATTTCCTCCCTGCTACATCTCTAAAAGAACCTTCTGTGTTATTGTTCTATTTACGTGACCTTTTTCTCAACAATTCAAAACAATCGCACAATTTCTTCATAGCCTTCAATTTCATTCATCAAGAATGATTGTTCCATATTTTAGCTGTCAGCTACCTGTTTTCTGCATCATTTATCACAAATACAGACAAATCCTTACACTCTTGGTCCATCAGTGAGGTGAATGACATTTAATGACACTCGTGCTCAGCGACAGCATACTTAGGCTGCTTTATTGCTTATGTAGCTTATTTGCTTTGTTCAAATTAAGCTGACAAAATGACAAACTGTTGCAGTTTTTCCTTGGGTCTTTTTCTGATCATGTACTTTTACATCACTTTATTTTCCCTGATTATTAGTTCTAATAGAAATTGCCTATAGTAGATGTATTACTGCATTTATTACGACAAGCCTACTACTGCATATGTATACTGTGATGAGTCAACCGCTCATTTGTTCCCGGATCTTGGTTTGATTACCTTCAAACGAACCGCTCTACCTCCTCTTAGCAATCTATCATGAGAAAGCTGAGGGCTACTGAGTTACCATATGTCAAAAACCCGGGCCAAGTTGGGAAATGACCCATTTCAGAACAACTTCTTCAAATGATCCAGGTGTTAAATTGAGAATCTCAATCTAAAAATAATATATATATATAATTTTTGCCGTAATCAAGCAGCCCTACATGATGTGTAATGATTTTTGGAAAATAATACTTGTAACATATTCTGTGGAAGTATATGATTAAACTTCATTGAGGTATATGGCTGGAAGAGCCTTTAAAAAAAGTGAATATCCAGAAAGAAAATTTGCGTCTTACAAACAAACTCATCAGCATTTTCTTATTTTTCTTTCACTCGCTTATCAGTATCCTGTTCCTTCAATCCACTTTTAGTTACGCACAAGTTACAGAGAGAGGTATATAAACTCTAATCATTGGGCTGTGGTGGAAGTGCAAAGCTGCTGAAACACACTAAAAAACTTTGTGTAAGTCTAAACCTCAATTCTCACCTAACTTAAGCACTGCTTTGAAGGGCACTCAAATCTTAAGCACCACGATGGGGAACTCCTAACAAAGAAGCTGATAAATGGGACTACCAGTGTTGGTAAGCTACAGTGGCTACGTGCAGAAAAACACAAGATTAAAAAAATGTGTTTATAAAATGGCTAACATACTTGCTGAGAGGGAAGAAGGTGAGGGGAGGAGGGGAAGACTGAGGGAGGCAGGCAGAAGAATGCAAACTGTCTATGCAACAATTTAAAAGCATGATTTGCTGAGTACTGGGAGGAAGGATTAGGAACTGGACTGCTCTACAACACACACACACACATATCCTGTCTTTCTAATACTGGAACACATTAACAGACTAATAACACAGCTATACCAGATTAGTTTGGCAGGCAAATGATGGACTGAGGGAAAGAGAAAGGGAAAAATACACAGAAAGAAATACAAAGGGAGAAAACAGGATAAGGTGAAGCAGTTGGACTTTGAGTATCTTCCGACAGAAAAGAAAGAAGTTCAGAAGAAAGCTGTCAAAGTAGAAGAAAGGGGGGGGGGGTATGATAAATGTGAACACAAAGAAAGAAGAATATTGAAAATGTCAAACAGCAAACAAGAAATGGAGAAAGAGGCTAACGCTATCAAAAATAAGGAAGGATGACAGAGGAAGGAGAAGTAAAAACAGAATTAACAAGGGGAGTTTGCAAAGTGCTGACAAAGGTGTGAGAGGGAGTATGAAGAGAGAAAGAATAACAGAGGACGAAGAGACGATAATGACAGAACATTGTCGGAGAGCAGACCAAACTAGCCTATTGGGGCACTATATTACAATCATAGCGAGGCTGCACATCAAATCATTTTAGAATTTTTAACCAATACACTTGTCATTTTAACACCCAGTGCCCATTATGTACAAGTAGCAGGCTTTGTGGCTTGATGATGTTAAAGGAGGTCTGGTCAGACTCTTGGTTGGCGCGGTGCTATTTGCTATCTTCTTATTTCCTGCTACCACCCCCCGCTGTGCCATTCCCACGCTGGCCGGCGTGCGGTCACATTACACAGGACTATCCGTGCCTAAGCATGATTACCTCTCATAACGTCGTAATACAACACATGCATGCTTTAAGTTATTATGAAGCATGCTCAGTTGACAAACAGGCGGACGAGAGAGAGAGAGAGAGAGAGAGAGAGAGAGAGAGAGAGACGCACGGTCGAGTCTGCGGGCAAGTCCGCGGCCGCACATCAGAGAACAACACAGAGACCATGACAGCTACTTTGTGGCTTATATTGAGTCATTTTAGTCAGATACAGACATCAAACTCTGGATTTCTCCATAATGAAGGCTGTCAGGCCTTGTGTACCCGCGTGCTTGTGCTCGTGCATGAAGTGTACCGCGCCGAAGCACACCTCTCCGAAGTGTACCAAAGCCAAGGAAGCGTACCGTGCCTGAGCCCCGTGCTGGTAAAACAGAAATAATTGTCTGCTGTATAGAGAAACGTAAGGTAACAGTAAACAGAAATACAAATATGATTCTGGAAAAAAGAAGTATGACTTAATAAGACACTTCCTAATCACAATCCAACGCTCCCACTTTCATCCATGTGTCGATCCTATATGTTAAGAGTCTTAAAATGGCTATACAGTCGACTACTCAGTTCTACTTCTAGATGGAACAAAGAAGATCAGGAGTTGGAAATGTTAAAAGAGGAAGAAGAGTTCAAATGACGGGAAAGTGAAGAGCACTGCAGAAATAAGATAAAGGGACAAAACACAGGGAGTAGTTAGGGTTGATATGGATAGATGAAAGAATATTAAGAGGCAAAAAGGTAGCGAGAGCAGGAAAAAGAAGAGGGTGGATAAAGTGAGTGAATCTCAAAGTGCTTTCTTGGTGTCTACCTCACATAATCACAAATACACACACAGCTCCTACAGCTCCCCTTCAATCACAACTGAGGCCATCTGTCCATATGACTGGTGTGCTCTTTGAATAATGGAGCCAATATGAAGCGAGTCACTGAGAAGATTTGGTCGTCTGATGGGGGTCACAGGGTTCCTGCCCTGAGAGCAGCACTGGGAATCAACAGCAGTCATAAAGGAATCATCAGAGGGAGTCATTTGCATTTTACACTCACAACTAAAGCGACTTGTGGCCGCTCCTGTCTAGACCATCATAATTCATATCAGATATGCTTTTAATTTTTTATACAGCAATTATGGAAAACTGGACCTCCATGGCTTTTTCTAATTTCCCAAGACTTTGAAATATGAAAATCATATGGCTCTTTTCATGATATAAAAATGACAGAGCTTTCAATTGTTTTTTTTTATGACTTCAGGGGGAAACCTCAAATGTTATGAAAGTGCTGTTTCATAAAAAGTTGTCTCCGCTTTTCTCCCTTTCAGGAGTTCATATATTTTATACACATTATTACAAAAGTCTGTCTTGTGAATAAAAATGTTGCTAACTGATGGCTCAGAGGTCAAATAGACTCCAATAGAGGTAAAATTGCATCCTCGTGCTTTTGTTGAAGTTCTTGGGCACAGTGCACTAATCTGTATCAAGTAGAAGTTACTGTTAATCTAAAATGATTGCCACAGCGGCAAATAAGAAATAAAAAAAAAATCCATTGTAACTAAACTACAGGTGCATGAGTGTCATCCAAGTTACTTTCAAAATGTCATCAAAATAAAGAACATATCATGTAAGTAGTGGGTTATATATGTAATATGGGCACTTCATAGTTATGAGCATTACCTGTTCCAGGAGTTTTCTGTATCTCTGCGTTGCTTGCTGGATGAGATCCCTCACAGTCCAGCCCTCCTTGCAGGGTACCACCACACCTGTTTGCCCAAACGTCACGGTAACCTTCATGATGGCACTGTCCTCTTCATCCAAGATGTATGTTGTGAACAGTGGAGTAAATAATGCAGGATGACTCCAAACGCTGATAAGTGAGTGGCTTGGTTTCAAAGGCTTATATCACGAAAAAAAACAACTTTTTTTTTTTAAGTAAGTCACACAGCTTGACAAAGTGGTCCAGAGTCAACAGAAGCTCCTTACTTAAAGTGCCAAATGTGTTGACTGTCTGACCATGCCATTACAACAGAGGTGATAAGGTAATGACAATCACACCAGTAACGTACATCCGACTCAGATGTCACTTTTTTTTATAGTCACGATTGTCCCATTCCCATTTATTTACCTCAATAACCATCCCACAAGAATGAACACTTATCAGTTTGTATATGAATAGCTGTGTCCACTTTGCAGTAACGCTACAGCAGTCTCTCCATTATTGAGTTGTTGTCATGTCATTATTCACTCAACAGTGTATTATGTCTCTGGTTGACTTCAAGAGGCTAGCAGTCTGTCAGCTAGCTCCTCTTTGCTAAAAGAAAAAACTTGATACTGTAACCTGGTCTGATGACGATAACAAGCAAAGGATGAGAGTTTTCGGTCGTCCGTGATGTTATGTATCCTCACGGCCTGCTCAACGAGTCAGGTAGTTTGTCACTGCTCGTATTAACAAGTAAACAAAAGTTTATCCAAACTTTCACATCAGCCAGCAGGCTCTCCCTCTCTCTCTCCCCCTCTCTCTCTCTCTCCCCCTGCGCTAGCTAACGTTAGCCACCTTAGCTGAACTTTGGAGGGAGGGATGCAGTCTCACAGGCATCATTCCTGAAGCTTTTTTCCTCACGCAAGTTTTCCTTCTCCCGAGCGGTGACTAACATTCACTTCATCACCCGACACGCACAGCGAAGCGACGCCACTTGTTGTTTTTTTTCTCCACTTGTGGTCACATAACAAAAGCCGAAGTGAAAAATGACCGCAGAACTTTGTGTTGGAAAAAGTTTTTTTGGGGGGGGATTCCTTCACTGCCTGTTGTTGGTCCGCTCCTGGCCAGTTCCTGACCAAGCTCCTCCGCCGCTTGTTACTGTCACTTTCTTAAAGGGGAAGTACAAGTATAACTTTAGAGGGGAAACTAAACTGGAAACTGTGGAAGCCCATTTCCGCCAGTAAAAAAAATAAAAATGAAAATAATAAAGTCTCATAATTTCTCATTATTTTGACTTTTTATCTAATTATTTTGACTTATCTCATTATTATGACTATATATCTCATAATTTCAACTTTTTATCTCATTATTTTGACTTATCTCATTATTATGACTATATATCTCATAATTTCAACTTTTTATCTCATTATTATGACTTAATATCTCATAATTTCAACTTTATATCTCATAATTTTGACTTTTTATCTCATTATTTTGATTTATCTCATTATTATGACTTTATATCTCATAATTTTGACTTTTTATTTCATTATTATGACTTTATAGCTCATAATTTCAACTTTTTATCTCATTATTTTGACTTTTTATCTCATTATTTTGACTTATCTCATTATTATGACTTTATATCTCATAATTTCAACTTTTTATCTCATTATTATGACTTAATATCTCATAATTTTGACTTTTTATCTCATTATTTTGACTTATCTCATTATTATGACTTTATATCTCATAATTTTGACTTTTTATTTCATTATTATGACTTTTTATCTCATTATTTTGACTTATCTCATTATTATGACTTTATATCTCATAATTTCAACTTTTTATCTCATTATTAGGACTTTTCATTTTTATTTTTGTAACTGGCGGAAATGGGCTTCCATATAAATCAGCATTATGCTCGGACCAATTTAAAAAGTATGTGTATTTCCATTTGTGGGGTGGTTTTGTGGAATGGTCTTGACGAAACGATTAAACAAAGTATGAATATAATGCAATTTAAAAAAACTGTACAAAAGATATATATTTGAAAAGTACATAAATGAGGAAGGAGAATGTAAATCTCACAGCTGTTAATGGCGCCTGTTCATTTTGTTCTTTTTTTTGTTTGTTTTTGTTTTGTTCTGTTTTTCTTAATAGCTCGATTGGAGTATTTTTTTTGTATTGTCCGTTTATTTTATTTTATTGGATTTTGCATTTGTTTATGGTGAAGAATGGGGGTAGGACTTGACAAGCCGAGGCTTCTTCCTATCCCTTTTCGAACATGTCTAATGTGTATTATATTGAAATTGGCTTTTTATTTTTTTTTTATACAGATTTTTTTTTTTCCATTTGTTTATTCATTTTCATCTATTTTTTAATCGTTCGAAATAAAAGAATAAAGTAAAGTACTCCATTTACCACTCGGATGAAAGGGCAGGAAGATATTGCTCAACTCATGGATCCTCCTTCTCAGCTACAGTTGCTGCTCTAATAACACGATGTCATGTGCGAGAGAATTACGAGTCACTGGTTTGAAGTGCATCTGAATTCACTTATCAGGAGACATTTTTAGAAGCATACAGAAAACTGCTGCAGAGTTAAAATGCACTCTAGCCTTTTATTAGATCAATGTAGCATACTTAAATTAGCAATCCTGCACTCCAAATAATTATAGCTGCACTAATTTGCCTACATTTTCTGTCTAAATGAGAAAGGAAAATGCTGTTGAGTGTTTTACCTTTAAAAAAAAATGTTAGGTAACAAATAATCATTAGTTTTCCTTCAGTCATGTTTCTTTCTTGCCTTCTTCTAACAAAAAATATTTTAAGTTCATAATGAACAATCATATACATTTCAGTTGTTTTATGTTTGTATAATTTTACCAATTATTAATGACAATATTGATTGGAGTAGCTTAATGTATAGCCATGTTTATAGTTAATTTTAGCCGGCTCTATTACTTTAAATCAAAAGTTGTATGTTATGTCTATAAAATATATTTTTTTATTTTTTTTTAAAGAAGGGTGTAACTTTAGTCTCACAGACTTCACCCTGTAGAAGTAGACACAACTACTTATTCAAGGCTGCATGTGTAGTTATAATGTCTGTCTGTCATGGCTTAGAATGACATTCTTGAGTAGAGTTACTGGTAATGTTATTGGTAACACCTGTGCTCTTCCTACAATGACAATCACAATATGTTCTGCAAAAGAGGCCGTTTCCCCTAAATATGAGGATGTTTCGATCTCAAATCATAAACAGTGTTGAATGCCCTTCATACTCTACTTACTCTAAAATCTAAAATAATACCTGAGTATTTGCAAGCACATGGAAATGATGTTAGCATTTAGCTTATTGGAGCTTATACTTGGACAGATAAACCACTGTGTTGATCAGAAGTGACTTGTAAAATACCCAAATATTACTACAGTATGTATTTTACCATGGTAAAATATCATATCACTATATATCAATATGTAGACTGAACTGTAAAGTTTTTATTGTAGAGGATAATATATGTTGTTAATGTTACTCAATAAAACACACAAATGGACACAAACACTGGACAGGCTCAGTTGTTTTATTACGTCATTATAAATTATAGATGACATGTTTACTTTGTTAGGTTGAAATGCATACATTGTACATCACAGCATATTTCAGGGTACGAGCAGAAGTCAGAGCTATAATATAAAGGGATCGGCATGTATACAGTAGAGTGTCAAATTGGCATCTTAAGAACCTTGAGACTGACTCAAACTGCTGGAAAATCATCAGCTGACAGCAGCTCTGCAATAAAATATTGGAGCCAACAAAAATATGATATTGACAAAACATTTTGGGGTTTTCAGCTGGTTCATCTTCAAAGAGGAAACCCCTCCCTGTGAGGTGGAGTTTGGCTTTGTAATTAGCAGCTCAAATGAATGCATGTGTATGTCTGCTAATTGATTTTGGCTAGGTTTAGTTTCTGGGTCACTGAATTCCATTGCTACTAATGAACCCAGAGGGAGAAGGAACATTGTGCACGCAGGCATTTTTCTTCTTTCTTCTTTGGTAAAAGTTTCAAAGTTAGAAGTGCACTTGAATAATCATTGAGGATATGAATTTTGAAACATTTGAAATATCTACAAAAAGATAAAGAGGAGCACCTCTCTTATATAAACTTTCTCTTTGAAATTAAAATGTTGCTTATTAATCCCACACATGATATGACAGAAATATATAAATACAGTGATATTGTTAAGTGATTAAGTATTTGCCACCATATAAAATATAAATATACACGACATCTTATGGCTGAGGATTAAATCAGTGTAATACAGTGTCTGTATTATATCATTCCTTGTCATCTCAAAGAGTCCAATACAGTTTTTATATAATGTGATGAGATTTGTCCATTATTTTTAACTTGAGTCACTTTATTTTTAAGATATCTTTTTGTATTTGTTTTTTTTTTTATTTCCCCAACTTTTTAGGGCAGTAAATGATAAAAATAAAATGATTTAAAGTAATTGCTAAATTTCAATAGTTAGTCGCAATTAATGACATTTTAAATCGCATATTTGAAATTCAATCATTTGGCATTTAAATATAAAACATTTTAGCCTTTATTTTGAATGTTTGTACTGTCTTAAGCTGTGAGTACTTTATTTGCTGTTTGAATTCAACCCTGCTTTTATTTTGAAATGGACCCTCTGGTATTGAAGGTAGATTGAAGGTTAAGACATTAACTTAACATTATAAAAATAAATTTGGATCAAAAACTAAATGAAAACAGCTAAAGGGGATGGTAAAAAGTCTAGCATTTGATGTCATAAGGTGGATATTACTTTTGACTCAACAGCTGAGCTGTCTAGAGGAGTTTTTTTTAAAGTGAAATGAGAAATTCAAAGACGCAGCAGTTTCATTCTTTTCAATCACTGTGACTACAGGGAGACACTGTTGGGGCTTATCCACAGTGCGCCTTGAGGGTCATAATAGCATTATGATTAATCTCAATAAAAAAATAATGAATATATTAATCTTAGATCTTAATTAATTGCAATAAACTAGTTAATGCTGACAGCCTTAGTCTTTATCAAGAGGCAGTTGGCAAAGAAAGCACAAGTTTAAAGGAAGAATGTGCAACTTTTTGATCCAGTAGATGTCGCCCTTGAGCACCAGCATGAAACCAAAACAAAGTGTTGTTTGGGGACACCTCCGCCACACTGAATCCTCCGCTCTCCTACGTTGACATACTGCCAACTCCTCTCCCCTTGCGTTTGCACAAAGGAGTTATCAAATTGGAACGCGCCATAATTGAACACTAAGCGCAAGCCACGGACAAAATTGTCCTTGTCTCGAGCTGCATTGTTGTGTTAGCAGGTAGCGCTCTTTAGTCTGCTCGTATAGCTTCACACTGCACGTCAATTTACATGGAATGACCGTGATCTAAAAACGCTTACATGACATTCAATAAGCAGTGAATACAGTATGGTATTCTCCTTTTCTCTAGTTCCTCACTTAAACAGCTTTTATACGCAAGGGCTGGCCATCCCGTCCATGTAAACACGATGTAAATATGGCTCAGACAACATCATCGTCAGCGGGACTCGCGTATCACACATGACTCAGAGAGATGTTTACAGAAGATACTGGATTTCTGCTATATTTAGGAGTAAAATGTTGCACATTCTTCCTTTAAAGTATAGAAAAAATGACTCATAAAAAATGTGTTACCAAATTGTTGGAGCTATGACTGATTTAATGATGGGTAAGTAAGAAATATTTAGTGATATTATGATTTTGAAAAAGCACAATCTGTCTTTTCAGTCAACCCATACATCCAACCTCTACCTGGCTGCCAAAAAAAAAGGTTCCCAATTGGGTCAATTTTTTTATTTTGACTCAGAGATACACACACTCAGTGTTTAAACCTGCGTACAACATATGGTTCCCCATTTTCTTTTCTCACCCCATATAGTAAAGTACTAACCTCAGCAGTGTTCTGTGTCTTTCCTCCTCCATTATGAACTGTTATGAATCACAGCGAGCATGCTAGGATGTGAATGCCCCCTGCTTCTGGGCCAGGTGCATCCAGTCCGTGGCAAACAAAGCAATATGTGAAGCAGAACATGTCCTTTTACTGGGAGAGA